AAATAAAATAGTGGAGACATTCAAAGTTGGAAGGAAGATGTCAACTTGAGAAGGAAGAATTCTTTACACATTCAATATTGTTGAAGATGGCTCCAAAGTCTCTGGCTAGAGTGAAGTAAGAAATTCCAGAAGGGGAGTTCAGTTTGAGAGATGACATGTTTTGGTTTTGAGCATGCTGTATGTGAAGTCACAGCTCAATGTTTTAATAAGGTAATGAATATATTTGAGCTTTATTGAGTATCTTCAATGCGGCAGGCGCTGTCCTAAGTTCTTTACATAAATTGGGTATTATCTAGCTTAATCCTTGCAGCCTATCTATGAGTTATTGATTCCATTTTTATTCCCGTTTTACAGATGAAGCAGCATCTCTTTTATAGATGTTCTCTAAGGCTGTTCAGTTCATAAATGGCAGAGGTGGAATTTTACCTAGATAGTCTGACTAGAGTCTGTACGTTTAATTATTCTATTACTGTGCTTCCCAGATAAAGATGTCTGGTAAGTGGATGTAGAATTGAGGCAGATAACAAACAGATCAATAGTAGAAATACAGATTTAATATTTTTTGCCTAGAGGTGATAGTTGAATGTGATAGCATCCTCAACTCTGAATGGATTAAGAGCATAGGAGTTCTTACTCAATCTGTGGCAGGGGGCTAGGGAAGGGAGGATGGAACCAAGGGAGTTAGGGTCACATTTAGGAGCAGGAAGAATTAAAGTAGAGCAGAGAATGGTGTTCACTGGATGCTGTTCATTTTTCTATTTTTTTCAATATAGGAAGGGTAAATAAGATAGTGTTATTAGAGAATATAGTTTCTATAATTATCAGTTTTATAATATAATTAATGGATATACTTCTAGACTTTCTAAAAGTTTATTTAAAAACTCAAATATAACTTATGTCAATGGGTTTTGTTATATATATAAACTGTTGTGAATGTGGTTCAAAGCAATGATATGCTGTTTGAGTGATTACGTAGTAATGACACATAAGAAAAGTGTGTCATTTTAACACTACAAAGCTAGTGGTAGCAAGCAGACGTTCCTTAATGTACTATTCTACTTGACTGAAAAAAATTTAAAAATAATATTATATATGATTAAGTATTTTTTAATGGCTTTGAAGGCTTTTGATCATCACAACTGTTTCATCATCACAACTAGTTCCTATTAAGGTAACACTTAAAGTAACATTTGATTTGTTTCCAGAATAAATATAGTCCTGTAAAAGGCACAGTAATAGTTAACATTTAGAAAACATCAGATTCAAATGACATTTATACATTTGAAGAGTTTCAGTGATAGATTACGGCTTGATTTACATGCTTTCCCACTTGTTCTCACCATCTTCTAGCAAAGAAGTACAAAGATGAGTAGTTCATAAACCTCGTTGTATGTTAAGTCATGCTACACATTGGTCTTTTCTCACCCTCCCTCTCTAGTCTTTCCCTTTGGCCTTCTCTCTTGCATGTATATTTTTTTCCCCATGTGAATAGGGTGAAATTTAAATTCAGGGAGAGTCTTCTCCTTAAATTCAAGGATGGTTCTTCTTCTGTTGCACCCAGTCCTTTATGCTCAAATTCAAAGATTTAAGACAGCAGAGTGGGAACTGTTTTTTCTAACCTGGACTCCTTGCCCACTGATTCTTTCACTTGGCCACTCATACCTGAGTTTTATCATCTCTGATCGTCAGCTTTTGTTTTCCTTCCAATGTATTCTTGGTATTTAATTGTTTTTAATTACACACCACTTCATTTTTGTCTCTCTTGAGCCAACAAACAGAAGACCACCTTGTTTTAGCAGGAGTAAAGAAAGATAACACTGAGGAACTTAACTGTCTTTCATGTTATTAATACAGTCTCATTGATTATGATCCAGGAATTGTACATTTGTGACAAGACAGCCATGGACTGAATTTTTCGTTTGTTTTCTGTTTTTGTTCTTTTAGGAGTATTTTTCCTAAGGTTTCACAGTGTTTGTATTATTGATATTCAGACTGATAAAAGAGTAGGAGTTTTAAGTAGCAAAAATAGGAGAATGATTCTTTTTGCTGCCTTTTGAATTTGAAATCTTAAATGTTACTGCCTGTACTGATTTAGAAAAAATCACTGACGAGCCCCATGGCTTATGATTG